GAAGAAATCTTTGGTCCAGTTTCTGCACAGGGGCGGCAGTCATTTCTGGGTAAAGTGAGCTGTTCTGGAGGTTTTCGCAAATTGACTCCAGAGAACTGGGAGGACAGGTAGCCTGCCCTGACCCTGGGTGCATGGATCTTCATTCGGAGAGTTTGGTTTGAATTGAGAGCTCTCAGTTTTGCAGATCAGGCAAATGTGGTCTGAAAAAGTGAAGTGACACTCTCCACCTCCTGGAGTCAGGGCCCAGCATCCCGCTTGCCTCTGCTCACTTCAGACAGCTCCCTTTCTCCTTCTTCTTTTGGTTAGAGCTAGTGAGTGGAAGGAATAGCTGAGCAGGACTTTCCTAGTGTTATTCTCTATCAATAATACATTTTAATTGTCAGTGCTATGGACTGGGGACGGGGGCGAGGGAGCTGGTAGTACTTGAAAATCGCCAAGTGGCAGGGGAAGCTACTGAAAGAGCATCTAAATGCTTAGGGCTAGTGGTGTCAGATAATGCATGTTGACACCCCAACTAAAAGAAAATTTTAGGCTTTATTAAAATTGGCTGAATTCTTCCGACGGCAGCAGCTAAAGGAACACTCAGGCAGATGGGAGGGAGGAGGTTTACATGCCAGGACAGTGAAGCCTTTGCTCCCATCTCTCTGCTTGCGCAGCCACTGCTTAGTCCCTCTGCGGTTAGATTATTCCTTGCAGATAGCAATCAACTGGAAGGAAGTGTGTGTGTCTAATTTGCATGAGATTATTTAAAAAAAAAAAAAAAAGGTCTGCATTAGTCAGGGTGATGGTAAACAACGCAAAGAGATGCCTTTTATAATATAGCCTGTGCCTCACTTTCAGAGCCAAATATAATTCACTTACAATTGGCAGTTTCCTTTATTATTCCTTTTAACCTTTTGGATTCTGCAAGGTCTCAGAATCTAAGATCTGCACTGTCTGTCTCGGTGGAAGTGGGAAAGACGGGGCTAGGGCACCTGAATGTCTTATGTATGGGTCCTGTGGCAGGGTCATCGCAGCTCCAGGAACCGATGACTGGGTAGATAACTAATTGTGACCGGAGAGAGGTAGGTGACTGCCACTCATTCTCCATGAACCTCGATACATCCCCTGAGTCCTGCAAATACAGTCCTGAAGCTGGTCATTCGTGCCCGCACTGGGGACATTCCAGAGGAAGAGGACACTCAGGGAAGCATAGGTGCTAGATTATGAGAGGCATTTGGGTTTGATTTGGGGTTAGGATATTAGAACGAAACCGGACAAGGACTCTCTACCTTTGTCACTCTGGTTTTTGGAAACTTGTCCAGGTGTCATTTGCAGATGGCACCCAGGAGTTAAGTTCCTGTGTTGTTTCAGTGCAACTCCAAAACAATATTTATTAGCTCTTACCTGGGAGAGTGCCTAGGGTGGGGATGGGAGAAGAACATTTAGTCCTTCTCTCAAGCTCTGTGACAAGACTGAAGACATAAGACGAAAGTTTGAATCTGTCATTTGCTGTTCTGCAACTCTGGCATGGTGGGAAGGCTCCGGGCTGGAGGGGGAGAGCCTTGGATTGTTGCAGCCTTCCCATTCTCCAGAACAAGTTGGGTGCCGGGCAGTTTCCACCCTCCTAGAGCCTCAGGGTTTTTATCTTTAAATGAGGGCAATGACTGGGATAATGGGCCAGCTCTGAAATTATATTATTCGTGAGATTGTTAAAATGCAGGGTTTTTTGTTTTTTGGGTGTTTTGGTGGCACCAGTGTCACTTGCCAAAAAAATGCTTATTTTTTTAAAAAGAAGAAAAAGAATTTATTTATTGTAACCTAATCAAAATCCTGACTCTCCCAGAGAACTTGGGCTATCAGAATTTCAGCCAGTGTAAATGTAGAGCATCAAATGATAAGGTCTCTGAAAAACAAGAGCTTGGAAGGAAGTGCTGATGCCCTTTAAACCCTTTAAACCATGGCCTCACCAGTGGGCTCGGCTGTGATAATGCAGGGAACATGTTTTATTAGGAAAATAGGTTTTGTAAAAGCTCAGGGCCAGAGGGCAGAACAACGGGCAAGGAGTCCTGTCCCTTTAACCAGCTCCAGCTCTCAGGGCCACAGCACAGCCTGTAACTTACTGTATATTTCCCCAGTGTTAAACATTATCGTACTTGTTTATATTTGAAAGAGCCAAAAGGGAAAATGAGAATGCAACTGAATGCTCCTTTTGGGAAAATTATCCTCATTTGCAGCCAGCGACTGACAAGGCACACGAACCACCAGGTTTATAAAATTCCGTAGTGTACCAGTGACCATCAGCCTGTGCTGACGGCGCAGGTGCCTCTTTCTTCTCTAATGGCTGATTATGAACTGGTTAGAACAATGTCTCTCCTGCTAGGACTCTGAGAGGGGTTCCCCTTCCTGTCTAGTAGGAGCGATCAGAAGTCACCGCGCAGGCCTGGAGCCAGAGAAGCACAGACTCAGGGGAAAGTGTTCGCTGTTTTTGCCTGGCTGGCCTGTTCTGTTCCTGCTCTTCTTAGGAGGTGAAATGATGGGTAAAGCAGTCCCTTTGCAGCAAACTGAGGAATGAGGGAGGAAGAACACTCCCGCTCTAGCTCTGCTCTCCTGAACTTGAGTGTTTGTATCTGGAAGGTGGCAAGCACCAATAAGTGAGACGCTTTGTACCCTGGAAGTGCTTTCATCCTGCCCTCTAATCTGTTGAGAGCATGGTGCCATCAGGGCAGCCCGCAGCTCTTCAGCCTTCCTGGTGGTGTGGCCTTGTCTATACTGGGTAGCTCCACTGTGTGAAGAGTGGAAAGAGCTGCAGTTTTCTTTCTTTCTTTCTTTCTTTTTTGTTTTGAGTCGGAGTCTCACTCTGTCGCCCAGACTGGAGTGCAGTGACTGCTCCCGGCACCGCAGCCTCGATCTGCTGGGCTCCAGTGATCCTTCCACCTCAGCCTTCCAAGTAGCTGGAACTACAGGTGTGCGCTACCACGCCCGGGTAATTTTTTATTTATTTATTTATTGTAGAGATGAGGTCTCGCCAAGTTGCCCAGGCGGGTCTCGAACCCACAGGCTCAGGCAATCCACTCACCTCAGCCTCCCAAAGCACGGGATTACAGGCTGAGCCACCGAGCCCGGCTTATGAGACTCCAATTCAAAAATATATATCTCTCTATATATTTATGTATACATATGTATATATATATATATATATATATGTATATACTTCGATTTAAGGAGTTTGATGAAACTAGGTGGTAGTGTGGTTTTTTTTCCTTATTTCTTATTTTTAAAAAAAATTTTGAGTTGGGGGTCTCACGCTGTTGCCCAGGCTGGAGTTCAGTGGCATAATCACAGCTCACCGCAGCCTCGACCTTCCGGGCTCAAGTGATCCTTCCTCCTCAGCCTTCCAAGTTTCTTGATTTTTTTTTTTTTTTTTTTGTAGAGACAAGGTCTCACTTTGTTTCCCAGGCTGGTCTTGAACTCCTGGGCTCAAGCAGTCCTCCCATTTGGGCCTCCCAAAGTGCTGGGATTGCAGGCACAAGCCACAGCGCCTGGCTATGAGCTGCAGTTTTAAACGGGGACAGACCTCAACTGCCCAGCATACAGAAGTGAAGAAAGGGCCAGGGCCATTTAGAATAGTTCAGGCATTCTCCCTTGACCGATTGCGGCAGGGCATGAGAAGTGTGAGGAATGACTGCAGTCAACTCACACGCCAATATGGTGCAGGGCAGAGCTGTGCTTTAAAGCATTAATGTGCACCATCTATTAGCCCCTAGGCACAGAGTCTGAGGCACCATGCTTTTGAAGATGCTGATCCTCAGAACCTCCTTGTACTTCATCTACCCCCAGGGGCAAATATACCATGCTGTGGGCCTCTAATGGAGAGCTGCCGACCAGATGTGGAAAAGCTCTCGGCTCTAGTTTAAAAGCTCCGTGTTGCGGCTCAACTGGATGTCAGGATTCCCGGAACAGCATGGCCGGCCGAGTGGTCTTTTGCAGACTAGCAGTGACCTCCCACCTGCTTTCCCACTCTCAGTAGCTGGAGCGCCTCCTACACACAGCTACTTTGTGAGCTGGCCCCTTGGGACAGTTCTCACGCCTGAGCGTGGCACTTTGTTCTTGTTCTTTGGGTTGGTCAGCGTCCTCCTCCTCCCAAGAGTCAGTGTCCCCAGTCAACTTCAGACCCGTTGAAGACATCCCTACTGTGTGCCCACTGGAAATGTGGTCTTCATGGGGTTTTTCACTTGCCTTTTATTTTTCCGTGGGTAAATCCTCTCCACATGCTCTAGCCACTGCAGATGGCGCCCTGCTATTTCCCCATGTCCCATGTGCAGGGTGGTTTAGAGTGTTGGGAGGATTTAAAAAAAAAGGGAAAAAAGCTAGCCAAAGGCGATATAGGCAGCCTATGCCAGGCTAGAGTAATAATCATCTGAAAGTTTGGGCCTGGCCTTGTTTTGATCTGTTTTCTTGTTTTATTTTCTTCTTTACATTCTATATCCCATTCATACTAATCACAGTCAGTCCTGATTTTTCTTTTTATTTCTGCATTTGTCATAAAATAAAGCAAATTATTCCCGTCTTCGGAAACGATCTAGACTAATTAGTCGTCTCACCCAATAATTAGTTTTTTGTTTCCCTGTCTGTTTTCATGCATTATTGTTAGTTTTTTCCCCTCTTTTTTTAACACCATTACAGATTAAAATGAGCCACATTTGCAGTTGATGGTATCTGTTTTCGGGGGAAGAATGGAGAATTGCAGTACCGAGCGACTTCAAAAGCAGCAATAAACTCAAGGATAAATTAAGGAAATTGAATGAGCCACATTTGGAAGCAGTGTTGAGGCTAATATTCTGTCGCTTAAGGTTAAATTGCAACTGAGAGAGGTTCCGGAGAATCCGAAATCGGGGAGGCAACTTACTAGGATGCTAGGCGTTCAGTGTCTGTAAGGGTCTTTTTTCAGTGATGATTTTGTTGCAGCCATGGACATTGGCAAAAGGTATTCACCTGCAATTATGTCCTCTTCTCCCCAGGGCTGACAGATGAAGAGATCGATCTGGCTTTCCAGCAGTCGGGCACTGCTGTCGATGAGCCTTCGTCCTTGAGCCCAGCCACACAGGTGGTTCCTGTGCAACCCCCTCACCTCATTTCTCAGCCATACAGTAAGTCACTCCCTCAAACTCCTGCTTCACCTTGGTTGGGACTCAGGACTCTGGCCAAAGAGCAGGTTTTGCATCTCTCAGACTTAGCAAATTGGGAGGCACCAGGAGCAGTAGAAAGCTCTCGGGTTTTTCCCAAAGAATGTGACACACCCAAATCCTCTTCCAGACTGACTTTTAAGTCTGTGACAAAGGTTTAAGAAGCGATAAGGGACCAGAATAAATGAGTTTATTGTATTGTTTCAAGTGTTTTGGTTATACACAAAAAACTGTACAACTATTTATTGGTTCTGTCCCTATTTTCTTATACCAGTGCTTTTGAATGTTACTATTTCCCTAATAACAACATGAATGTTTGACTCATGAGTTACATTCTTGTTTGCTCACTGAAATAACTTGTCTCCTAATTTCATTTTCTATAGTTAATATTTGTAGGTTTAGAATGGCCTCCCTTTCTCTCCCTCTCTTCTGGTTACACTGTATATATTCGTGTAGTAGCAGTCTGTTAGAGAATTTCAGGTTAAAATGTAAATAAAGGTCCTTTTTGAATGTTGCTTTTTTGCATGGGATTATTACCCACGAGGGATTTTTGTTGTTTTTAAATGAAATCTACTGTAGGAATAATGTTTCTTCAAGCTAGTAATAAATGAATACCTCCAAAATACAGCCAGAAATCCCCTGCTTTAAGTCACTTATAAAAAGTTTTAAAAGGTTTAAATTGACTCCACAGCTATGGAAAATGGCTCACTTTTGTTTCTTTAACATAACTCAGTGTTGGATCTGTTATCTTTCAAAATGCCTTTTCTATAATTGCCTTCATTTTAATTGTCTATCTCAGAAGTCTTATTTTTTCAAAACTGACTTAAAACAGTGTTAGACATCAGATGTTAAAAAGATGTCTTTTAAAACAACAGGTTCACGTGGATTCCCCAGCAAGTGGCCTCAAGCTGCCTTCTTCCTCTCACTTCACCTTTGTTTTCATTCAGCTCCGTGTCAACTGGGCAGGTGTGATCATCACAGTAGACAGAGCCAGCAAGGCCTCTTCTCCATGCTTGTTGAGGGGCCAGCCCGTGGGTTCGAGTCTGCCTTGTGAGTGCAGATCTCATTTAGGTGTCACCTCCTTTTGCTCTCCAGATAAGACTGAATGGGAGGCCAGAGAACACACACTCGGGTGTTATCTGTCTGCCAGTGCCTTGCCCGATTAACCTGCTCCAGGGAACTTGAGACTACTTCTGTATCTGGGCTACTGGATCAGCACCTGTGCTTGCCAGCTTGAGGCTCATTTCTCCTTCCTGGTCAGCATTCTTTCTGATCCATTGTGTTGCTTTGGGTTCTAAATCAACTTTATGTGTTTCTTTTTAACCAAAGGCTGAGTCTCCACACTTTTTCTTTTGTATCCCTGGGCCCAGCCATGGAGTAGGATTTGTTGAGGATAGGCAGTAGCAGCTGGGGTACAGAATTTTCTAAGATGCACATCTGTTCTATTCCAGCTGTTTCCTCCCATGGCTTAATACCAAACAGGTCTCTTGGCTACTTGGAAGCTTCTTACTCAGAACAAACTGTTCTGGGTGGTCACAGGGTTGGCCTGAGACATCGTGTGTTTGCCTACTTTCCATAGGCACAAACGGTTGATAAACTGTTAGTCTTTCTGAAAGAGGTGAAAGAATGAGGTGGGGAGGAGCAGTGTGGTCGTTTAAATCATGCTCATGTCCAGCTCGCTCTGAGAAAAAGCATTACATGTCGAGGTATTTAGGTAGGAGTATTTTTAAGAGTCTCCTGGCCCTAAAGAGAAAATGCATCTTCTTAGAGACAGACTTCTTCCTGCTTTGACACTAGTATTAAAAACAATGGTAATGGTAATTTTAAACCCCTGAAGTTTTGAGTTGTCACCCCTGAGCTTCGTTCTTCTTGTTCCGTTACATTGCTCCTTGCAGCTCCGGGGGTGACTCTACCTCCTCACTTCTGTACTTTTGCCAAGAGGTGTCAAAACTGCTAAAAAAAAAAAAAAAAAAAAAAAGCTTGATTTTGATTAATATAGAGAAACAAGACTTTGCCTGACTGATAATAAAACTGATAAATGACATTTGAATTACTTGTAGCGGTAATTTATTACATAAAATATCTTTTATTTGACATGCGATTAGTTGCTGGAAGCATCACTCAATCTGACTAGTTTAAACATGCTCTAAAATGAACCCCAGTAAAAACCAGGGCTGTCTGCTGCTGGCGTTATGAAATATACTAATCCTGTAGTGAGGAAAAAAAATCTGACTTTAAATATTTAAATGATTAATTGGGTTTATATATTTTTTTTACCTTTCTAACCCCCTTAATTACAAGCAAACTCGGGGGAGTTTCTGAACTAGGTGTGCAATCTGCATGCTTATCACTGAGGCATTGTCTGCGTCTGGGAGGGATTTATGGCCTCCGTTCATGTGTGTTCCTGCCGATTTTACATCTAGAGCCCCGGCAGCCCTTTCCTTCCATTCCTTGGCTTTTTAAGGGCATTCCATCTCTGAGCCCAAGCCTAGAAAATGGGATTCGCTGGGCCCAGGCCCAAACGCTCACGTCTCAGGGTAGGGTAGCTTTTCTGAGACCACCTCAGGGAGTTCGGTGCTCACAGATCTTCACCTCTTGGCTTGCTGGCCCACCTGCTTGGTAGTGGATGTGCTCACAGATCTTCACCTCTTGGCTTGCTGGCCCACCTGCTTTTTCGGCACCTCTGTTCTTGGGTGAATGTGGTTGACCTTGAGATGTTCCTAAATGCCGGTGTTGGCAAAGAGAACACAGAGACCTTACAGAATGGTACCAATTCGGTTCCTCAGTGTTTATCAAGCATCCACTGTACTCAGTACTGTATCATGTGAGGGATGCAAAACATCTCTAAGAATCTTGTGGGCTCTCTGGGAAAGATTGTGTAGTTCATCCTTACTTGTACCCCACATCTCTATAATAAAAAAAGTAAAAGGATAATAATGTAAGACAGGTGATTTAATGCCAAAATTAATTATATAGACAAGAAATTCTATAAGAATACAGAAAAGAGAAAAATGACTGTGGGTTAGAGTCAGGGAACGTTTTTGTGAAAGTGGTAGGAGGTTGACACCAAGGGGAAGCTTGGTGTCACCTGGTGTGAGCATCGACTAGGTTCTCAGGGCTTAAAAGAAAGTTGGTAGAGTTCAGGAAAAGTCAGGCCGTGATTTGAGAGGAGATTGAGGAGATCTGACACTCTGTTTCTCACTCTGGTTTCTTTTTGTTTGCCTTTGAGTCAGCAATCTCTTTCTGTGTGTGTGTGTGTGTGTGTGTCATATACAGGCTTGGTACCTCTGTGTGTGTGTGTGTGTGTGTGTGTGTGTGTGTGTGTGTGGCGTGTACAGGCTTGGTACCTCCTGAACATAGAGTCCTGAAAAATGTTGGATTGAGTGATTTGTGCCAAACTGACTTGTCTTCTTTTCTCCCAGAGAGACAAGAAACAAGGTGGCTTTGAGAAATAAGCAGGCCCTGTGTAGATTTTGTAGAATAATAATGTTTTCTTAGTTTTGAACATTACCCCCACTTCAAAGACTGACCTATAGCTTCAGATGCCTCTTCTTAGAATAGAATGAAAATGTCTGAGACTGGTGAAAGCTTTTGAATCATTTGGTTAGAAATTCTGGGTGGGCGGGGGGATAGAGATCTTTCTCAGTTTGCTTCTTTTATAGCCCTGTTTAGTAACATATACTTTCCCCTGATTATCTTAACTTACTGAACAAGCATTTGTTACTGAATGCCTACTGTGTGCCAGGCATGGTGCTGTACCCTTGGGATGAAGAGATTAACAAGGCCTACTTGTGCTCTATGGTTGTCTAGCAGGAAAGGCGTTTAAGCAAACACAGAGAACCTGGGAGGTGGCCCCAGTGAGGATGGTAACATAGAACCGTGAAGGGAAACTTCAGAAAGCAGATGTCTAACTGGATCTGGGGGAATGATTGGTTCAGTGAACAGAGAGGATGGACAGGAGTGTTCCAGGCTAATGCAAAAGCATGTGGACGGGAAACTGTGTGATAAACATAAAAAATATTGAGTTGTTAGCCAGGCATGATAAATCAAACCTATAATCCCAGCACTTTGGGAGGCTGAAGTGGGAGGCTCACTTGAGTCCAGGAGTTCAAGACCAGCCTGAGCAATGTAGCAATAAGCTGTCTCTGCAAAAAATATATATAAAAAAATTAACTGAGTGTGGTGGAGCTCACCTGTAGGTCCAGCTACTTGGGAGGCTGAGGCAGGACGATTGCTTGAACCCAGGAGTTCAAAGCTGCAGTGAACTATATTCATGCCACTGCATTCCAGCCTGAGTGACACTCCAGCCTGGGTGACACTGCGAGACACTGTTTCTTAAAAAAAAAGAAGAAGAAGAAGAAAGAAGGAAACTCTGGGTTATTCAGGGTAGCTTGAGCATGGGATGGGAGTGTCAGAGAAAGGGTGGCTCTGGCACCTTAACAAAGAACAACCAAAAAACACAGTGATGTTTTACTTTGAAATGCATTATCTAATAATTATTATTATTACTATTGTTATTATTATTATTTTGAGTCAGGGTCTCACTCTGTTGCCCAGGCTGGAGTGCAGTGCCATAATCATGGCTCACTGCAGCTTCAACCTCCTGAGCTCAGGTGATCCTTCTGCCTTAGCCTCCCAAAGTGCTGGGATTATAGGTTTGATTTATACATGCCATCACGCCCAGCTAATTTTCTTATTATTTGTAGGAATGAAGTCTCACCGTGTTGCCTAGGCTGGTCTTGAACTCATAGGCTCAAGCTATCCTTTCATTCTGGCCTCTCAATATGCTGGGATTACAGACATAAGCTACCATGCCTGGCCCTAATTATTATTGTTTTTAACCTTTTTTAAAGTCGGAGGTATACATGCATGTTTGTTATGTGGGCATATTGTGTGCTCAGGGCTTTGGGCTTCAGATGGACCCATTGCCCAGATAGTGAACACAGTACCCAGTAGGTGATTTC